ATTGTTAGCCGACACTGGGCAGCTGGTACATAATTTAATAGAGTTGTTTAAACATTTGTTTAACAACAAGTAAAAGCTAACAATACAAAGAACTAAATTGTGGCAGAATGCTACAAGTTCTTCAAATGCCTATAGAATGATAGGTTTCTTTTTTTGTGAGTGTAAAACACTTAAATACACCAGTTCGGTATTGGAATTTGTCTATATACACTAAAATTTATTTGCTGTTTCCCTACAGCTGAGCTATTCATGTAAAGTATGGGCTTATTTCAGTGATGGTGAATTTGTTGATAAAAGCTAGTTATTTTATATATTAAAACAGCAAAATAATTATGAAGATGAGAAAATGTTTTAATCTTTGTGAATCCATTTTGTTAATGTGTGTGTAGCTTAAATTAATATTTCAGTGTAAAGATTTTATCAGGTTTTTAACTCATGATTTATTTTCACAGTTTAAACCATGAAAGAAAGATTGCCTAACTACTTTCCACTCCTTGAACAAATTAGTGAAGACGATGATGATGATGACATTGGCTGTTGTTCAAGTTCTGGTAATCAGAAATGCAGCACAAAATCACTGGATTTAGAGAAACCAAAGCATGGAGAGAGGACAACAGAAGCATCCATTGGTCTAATGCCTCCTTTACAGACAGAGACAGAAGTGTCACTTGGTCCAATGTCACCCGTGCAGAAGCTTTTATTTTTACTTTCTTTACTTCTTTGTCTGCTCTTCTTTATTACATTTGGTTGGTTATTACCATGTAATCTTCCAGGTTTCAGTGGACAACAAAAGCAAGAAAAAGCCAATTGGCTTGCACGTTTGAACAATACTGGTAAGTTTGTGTGAAATAAATAATAAACTTTGTGCTTTAGGCAAAAGTCACACAATATATGTTAAAGACTATTCCTTTTCCTTCAGTAACTAATTCTTTGTACAATGAGTAAACTATACTTAAACACATGTACTTTAACACCTCTTAATGGAGTGATGTCAAGAGGAAATTTTCATCCAATATGCACATTTTATGGCAAATGATCTTACGACAACCAACATAAAGCTTTTGATATCAAATTATAAACATTCAATATAGTACTGTAGCAAATATTTACAGTATTTACTGTGCTGTTGAATTATAAAAAAGTTTTAAACACCTTGGGGAGTAGGGGATGGTGTACATGTAAAGAGGACGAACAGTTCTTCATATCCAGAGAAGTAGAGTCTTACGTGTGGTCTGATGTTTTTTCTCCTGTTCTAAATTATAGACATGTGTATAGTCATGCATAATGTACCAGGAAATATCTAGTTACTGCATTTTAGTTTTATGTCATAAACTAGTCTGTATAAATGGAAAAAAAATTGTACAAGATTATTGATATATATAAACACTGTTCAAAACTCAACATAAACAAAACAAACTTGTGATACCAGTTCAGTATTAATGACGTACTACAGTGTATATTTTGTACGTAGATTGTTCTAGAATATTATAACCAAATGTATTGCCAGTGATAATTAGTACTGTATTATTTCATCAAATCAAATGGAAATAGTTATTCTAAAGTGGTTGGAATCATGAAACCCTGTAATTTACAGTAATTACATAATTTAGATTAAAATGAAACTTAGATTTAGTTGAGAAATCTATTAGTCGTACATTAAAGACAGCGTATATGATTTAGATGTTTTAAAAAATTCACAGAATTATAAGAAATTGTTAATGTAGAAAAGTACAGTATTACGTTTGGTTTTTCAAAATCCTTAAAGAGTATTAGGTGCTACTATAGCGTTAGGCCTACCGGGACTTTTACACTATAGCGGTCTAACAAGACTTTTACACTTAGTTAAATAGACAGGTCAGGTGGGGTCTTCTATGATCCCTCTGGGGTAGGGGTAATAGAGTCCGGTGGATCTTGGTAGACTATGGATACTGCGGTGGACTGCACGCTATAGTAGCACCGAGTATTACTCCTAATGCTTGATTAAAATAAAGTGGTTCATGTTAGTTGCCTGATGCTTAATATTTAATATAGTATTAACAAAAACATAAAGCTTTTATGTTTGATCAAAGGATTTTGTTTTTTTTTCTAGAGATTACCACAAATCTAGAAGCTGTTGCCCTGAAATTTGGTGGTCCTCCTTTCTTGGTGATTTTTGGTATGAGAAGTAAAGCTAATAATTCTGATAATGCTGGTTTAATGGCTCTTAGCCAAAGTGATGGCAAGACCTTATGGTATGTTCCACTACATTCAATGCCTACAAGCCTAAAGTGTAATATGTTAGATATCAACAGAGATGGTGTCATGGATTGTATCGTTCGTGGACAAAATGGACTTTTTGTTGCTGTAAACAGTATAAACGGTAAGCTTCAGATGTGGTTCAGATGAAACTAAATATAAATAGTAAAGTATGGGGGAGGGAGTCCTTTCTAAGAGTTATCATTGTATATGTACAAGTTTTAATGTTTTGCATTGTAACCTAACAATAAGTGGGGGTTTAACTTTTAAATTTAGCAGGGACCAAAGGTAACAATGCAGTTTATCATATTCTCAGTACTTTATGTAAATAAGGATCCCAATTCTGATCAATCAAAATTAAAAGGACAGGTTAAGATCTCTGAAATTGTTTTAGAAAGGAAGAGTTTGAAGGGGATCTGATTGGAGGAATTGCTAGCGTTGATGCATCATTTTTATTTTATGTTTCCAAGTGGCACTTAAAGGTAAGAATAGTAGGACTAAGGGACACATAAATTTTGCAGGATAGGAGTCATCTTCTGTTAAGATGACTTTATTTTTCTAGAAGGCCTTTGGAATGGATTACCTTCAGATGTTGTGGGTGCAGTAAATTTAAAGGAGTTGAATTAAGGGAGGTTTAATAAGGGCTGGCTAAGTGTTTTGTTTTTCTTGTAAACTTAAGTTCATGGATGGGATGGCCTAAATAGATTAAAAGGTCTGTTGGCCTTAAATGACATGTTATATATTATGTTAAATTCTTTGAAACATTTTATGCAAGGTTGTTGTTTTTTTCCGGACAGTTCTGTAGACTATGAATAAAATAAAAACAAGTAATTTTATGTTTTTATAAGTTTTTTACATTGTATTACAGTATATAGCTGTGTTGAAGTATACATAACATCTTTTATAGGGCACACATTTTGGTACCTTCACAATCACAATAATCAGCCTCCACCAGTAGGTTTGTCTGCTCCAGTAATCATACCAGACTGTGATGGTGATTTGGTTCCAGAGATTGTTGTGGCCTATCGTATACAAAACGTGAATTCTGATAACAATGATTCGTCACTCACCTACATGGCTGTTGTGTCAAGTTCGTCAGGACAGCTTCTTGGATTGCTGCATCATTTAGAAGTTTGTAATAAAATTCCAGCTATAGTAACTCGACAAACTGATGATATAGAAAACATTGATATTGTTTTCTTTTGTAGTAACGGAAGTAATGATGGTGAGTTTTTTGAAAAGAAAAGTAAAGAGTTGGAAATATTCATTCATCCACTCAAAAAGCTTAACTTTTCATAATGCAAAATGGGTCTAATTATGTGATTTTCTATAAATAGAACTGTAAAATGAGCACAGCATATTCTAATCGTAAACAAATTATACTGTATGATTTTTATATTTCATTGTTAAGATCATCTCGATAGTTTTATAAACATTTTATAGAAATATGGTATGGTCAGGTTCATTGATTTCCATCAGAGTAAATGAGTAGGATCTTCCAAAATAGGAGATCTGACAGATCATTAGGTTGTGGAGTGAAGGTTTTATCTTTACCCGAGTTTAACCGAGTCCGACATAAAGAGAAAGGTTCATTGATTTCCATCAGAGTAAATGATTAGGATCTTCCAAAATAGGAGATCTGACAGATCATTAGGTTGTGGAGTGAAGGTTTTATCTTTACCCGACTTTAACCGAGTCCGACACAAAGAGAAAGGTTCATTAGCTCTGCCTCACCAGTTTAGTGTCAGCCAATCCTTAATTGAAAGAAAAGGAAGCTAAAACTTAAACTGACAACAAAATCCTTTAAGTTAAAATAAAGCAAAAATCTCTATCTTAAATCTAAAGAAAAATCTAAAAATTTAAACAGATATGAAATCTAAGTAATAAGAAATTAATCTGTCAATACTGGGGAGAGTCTGTCTTTTTTTTAATACACAAAAATAAACCCGGGCTGTTCCGGGCCCACACGTTACTTGTGTGACCCGCAACCACTCTCACTTTATCACGAGGGTGGCTATGCCCTGGGGCATTAAGTTATTCACTAACAGAAAAGACCATGTTTATTTTGGACCATCACAAATGATGGTACAGCCTCTCCTGCTAGAAAACATGTTTAGTGATTAATAAGAGCAACCCTGTTCATGCACAACTTGTATCACAAGAACTTAAGTTGTTTATTTGAATATTTTTCCGTGTTGAAAATGGAAGTTTTTTATATAACATATTAGCTCTTTTAAACCCGTAATTTCTTGTGCATTCTGTCGGAATTATTTTCATTATTTCCTTATAATTATCACCATACCTTATAAAAATTTCAGGGGTATCCAGATGAAGCATTGTTGAGTAAATAAACTCAAAACTCTCTTCCTGTTGAACATTTGGGATCACAGTCCACTCAGATTCAAGGAGTTAACTTAAGCTCCAAAACAAATATTCCAAACAAGTTACATTACTGTGTTTAAAACCCGCAGCTTATTAGATAAAGTAGAATTTGTTCTACAGTACCAGACTTTGTGAGGAGAGCTTGTCAACTTGCTCGCATTTTTCACAATGAGGTTTCTCCTATTGTGTGTTAAACACCAAGTTAATTAAAAGTTATGGGAAATTCAACATTATTTTTTAATTACAAGTTTTACAGAATATTGCAGCCTTTTCAAACCATTCATGTAGGCTCTTTAATAATTTCTGTAGACATTGTTTAAAATAATAATAAACTTTCATTAGTGTATTGACCACCATCAGTTTTACCTTGCATTAGTTTTAAATTCTTACTATATATATAGTTAATACTAGCTATGGTATATCATTAGTATATCATATGGTAGTTTACCTTAGTTTGGTACTTTCTCAATATATCGTATTTATGACTGTGGTAACTTCCATCTCTAAGTTGTATTATTAATACTGAACTTGTTTGAATATTGTCATATTTACTTTTTGGCTTTTACAGAATATATATATCTTTACTTACTGCTCTCTGTTGCCCACTCCATGTTCAGTTAAGTGTCAGTGGTTAGTCAGGTTAGTTTTGTTAGATACACGTCATAATATGTTTAATATAATGTTTTTCTTTGGATAAATATAACATTGTTATATTTTAACTTGAGTATCATTATTCTGACTATTTATTGTACAGTTGAGTTATTCATTTTATTTTTCATTTATTTTGTATTTTCATAAACATTAGTTTTTGGCAGTAATACTGGTAATGTCCTACTATCTGAATCAACACCTAAACAGCAACATGTGTTGTAGTAGTTTGTCACAGGATGTTTTTAGAGAATTTTTTACTTATACACAGTTATACTGATGTTACATAGTTAAACAAATATTAAATTTACGACCATACTTGAAACTAACAGCTAGTATTTGTGTTGTCTGTAAGTATGGTATACTGTTATATCTTTAATGTTACTTTCAAAATATCTATTTTTTATTATTATTATTAAGATTGTTTTGCATTGTTTGCTTAGTATATGGACTTGTGTATAACCTATATATCTTATAAGTTTACCAAACCTTACGAGATATTATTGGGTTTAGGCCAAAAACGTCGTTGAAAACAATGGTACCGAACTGAAGAAATTATGAAATGTAATTTCTATAATGGAGATCCTAAGAAAAGTATATTTAATTAGCTGTACTAATTACTAGATTGATTTATAGTTTTACTGTAAGTAGGTTACTCTGATCAGAAATTAATGTTGATTAGGAATATTTCATAATCTTCTATTTTTTATACATTTTTTTGTTTTGTTTTTTAGGTATCTTAAATTACTAAAATTAAATTTCTGTCTCACCTAGGAAATGTGTGGGTTCTTCCATCGAGTAGCTTGTGTAAGTCAGGAACGGTTCATTCAGATGCTTTAAACAGTCTTCGTTCAGTCTACGGGTAAGTTATTGTTCAGCTGTATCTGAATCTTTCATGTATATTTAAACAGATACCAAATTGCTTTGAAAATTAATTTTTTAACAAATAACAAAAGCTTTAAAACTTATAAAGATTATTGACATTGTAAGATTAGAACAGAGCTCATAATTTTGTGGTGCAAGTTCCTTTGATTACTTTTTAAACAAATTATCACCCTAAAGTTTTAAATTGTTGTCATACTTTTGATGCTGTAATTGGATTTATCTGTGTTGACATTTATAGCCATTTGGTATGACAAACGGATATACCCCACAGTGTCAAAAACTTTTCTACATTGTGTCACAATGGAGATACTCGCATGTTCGTGAATTTCCTGCCCTAGTACCACGTGTGCGTATATCACTGAGCAAAAGCGTAACTAGTGGATTTTGATATTGAAAACGTACTAAAAAAGACAAAATTCCAAATTTCATTTTTTAGTGGATAATTGACACTTTTTGAGAACCCACCAGAAACTTAATTATGCATTCAAAGGGTTAAATAAAAGAATATAAATTAAATAAATATATTGGCAATTCTCATATTATTATTTTTTAAATATTCTTATTTTGACGAGAAGGAAAAAAAACAATTAAGGCTTATCTATAACTGGTTCAAAAGTCTCACCTTCATGTATATGGTTTTTAATTTATATTCCAGTATTTAAGAAGTTCATAAATGTGTGAACAAGTGAATTTAAGTCTTAACTCTTACTTGAAATTGAGTAATTTTTGTTTTTATTGAATTTTTACTAAGTTTCACTGTGGATCAATTTTGTTTTACTTGTGGTATGGATTGTGCAGTTTAAATATAAATATATATTTATCAGAACGATAAAAAAATTAAAGGATAGTAAATTGTGAGGAACCAATTCTTGAATTCTTGAGAAAAATCAAAACTAAATTTACGTTTAAATATTTTTCACAAAATAAGTGTGTGAAAAATGTTTCTCAAAGATTAATAATTTAATAAAAATAGGAAAACATACATGTAAGTAATCTTCGTTTTTTTTGGAAAGAGATTAAATTTGTAAAATTATGTACTTGGAGTGGACCTATTCTTTTTGTTCTTTTGTAGTGTGAAGTTAAATGTGGAACATTGGTATGAAATGAAACACGTAATTCAGAGTGTAGTTACCTGCCAAACTGATTAAACATGTTCTTCCATTATCACTTCTATTTAGGGATAAAGTTTATGTCTGAGTATATGATATTTGTTAAGGATTACGAGGCTACGTACCTCTGTCAGCATACTTAACCCTTTGACCTAGCAACCATATATTACATCAGGTCAAAGTGTCAACAATACTGAAATACTTGTTTTAATAGAAATGAATAAAAACCCTATAACCCGAGCGCTTTTGAAAGGTGGACCTTTCTTCTTCAGGGGCAAACTGTTTGCCCCTGAAGAAGAAAGGTCCACCTTTCGAATTCAAACAAACATTGTCATCAAATACAGATTCAGTTTAAAATATAACCAGAAGTATAAATGTCACTTTAATTCTATTCATTGCCCTGTGTGTTAAGATTATTATCTTAACATTTACAAAATATTAATTCAGCACAACTTTATGTACTATACTGCTTTAAGTTAGTGTCATATGCATATCTATAATGATAAAAAGGCGTGTCTATGTGTGACCATCATAGCTACAAAAGGAAAGAGCCTATATAGACCCTGAGGGTGTGCACCTGAGTATTATTACTTATCCACGTGCGCGCATGCGCGTGGGCATCTCCTTATGAGGTAAGCTAGCGAAAAACTACATAGAAAAGAATATATGACCACCTTAGCTCCAAGAGCAAAGAACCTAAAAACCTGAAATTTTGCACTCATACTAAATGGACCCTGAGGGTGTGCACATGAGTGTTATTACTTATCCACGTGCGTGCGCGCATACGCACCTTTTTAATGAAGCAAGCTAGCTAAGAATCACATAGAAAAGAAGAGGTTCTTAATATAGCAACTTTTAACATATAGAAAAGCCAGTGCATTTTGGTAATAATGCATTCCAACAATGGCCTTTATGTCATGTTGCTTATCAACAAAAGTATAACATAATATTATTGTTAGTCTATGTACTTAATATATAAAATGAAATGCATAAATTACAAACATGAAAAAATATATTTCTTGATTTATTAATTTTGAATCTCCGTTGATTAAAGTCAGAAACGTTTTAAGTTCAAATTAGATTGATGTTTTTACTTGCATGATAAATTTTATACACATGGCTCTAGGCCAGTTTATCTCACACTGTATCTTTACTTTAGGCTTACTTATTAATTTCTTATTAGGTTCAGGATACACACACTGACATAATCATCTAGAATAAAGTATATCAACCTAATAACCCGAGCGAAGCCGGGTAAAGTTATAAACGCACTTTTAGGAGGTTTCCTGGTTCAGCTAGTTTTAGTATCCTGCGAAGGAAAACGTTTTTCTTGGTATCTAGAAATCCAAACAAAGGCAAAGAGTTAAAAAGTATATGTCCTACATTTAGGCTTAGGCTTACATCGAACTTTAGATTGTGCAGGTTTTCATCTGACCCAAGATGACACATATACAATTCAATCGTGTAGGTGTATTCCTGAGACTGATAACTTTGTTTAGTAGACCAAGCGCACCCTAGAATAAAGATCTTACGTTTGTGAAATATTAATATATTCCTTACAGTTCGAGATCTAAGCCATATCGTGACTGAACATATAAAGTTTGTATATCCACCCTGTTTTATCTTTTGGAAATCTAAAGAAAGTATTTTATTGTTAAAAGCATGACTGTACTAATAAAGATGCTGAATACCAGACTCCACCACGAACAGGTTTCTTTTGTTCTGTCGATAACCTTATGTAAATTGTACAACAAACGGTGAAGGATGCTGTTGCTGTGCATTTATGTTAACAATGTAAAAGTATGCACCATCCTCTACTACTAGGTGTCCCCCTGTTAATAATGTAAATGTATGCACCATCCTATACTACTAGGTGTCCCCCTGTTAATAATGTAAATGTATGCACCATCCTCTACTACTAGGTGTCCCCCTATTAATAATGTAAATGTATGCACCATCCTATACTACTAGGTGTCCCCCTATTAATAATGTAAAAGTATGCACCATCCTCTACTACTAGGTGTCCCCCTGTTAATAATGTAAAAGTATGCACCATCCTATACTACTAGGTGTCCCCCTGTTAATAATGTAAATGTATGCACCATCCTCTACTACTAGGTGTCCCCCTGTTAATAATGTAAATGTATGCACCATCCTATACTACTAGGTGTCCCCCTGTTAATAATGTAAAAGTATGCACTATCCTATACTACTAGGTGTCCCCCCCCCAGTGCCACAGCGGTATGTCTGCGGACTTACAACGCTAGAAACCTGGTTTCGATACCCGTAGTGGGCAGAGCCAAGATAGCCCATTGTGCAGCTTTGTGCTTAAATACAAACAAACATACCATCCTCTAGTATGTACTTCCTAATATCTGTAGTGTCGACACACAAACCTACAGTTAACATCGTTAGACGACATTGAACTTCTGCTAGTTGTTTAAGATGAGGTTAACATCGTTAGACGACATTGAACTTCTGCTAGTTGTTTAAGATGAGGTTAACATCGTTAGACGACATTGAACTTCTGCTAGTTGTTTAAGATGAGGTTAACATTGTTAGACGACATTGAACTTCTGATAGTTGTTTAAGATGAGATTAACATTGAGACGACATTGAACTTCTGATAGTTGTTTAATACCATAACACAATGTTCATATCTGGTACACAGTAAACCCGGTTAATCAGAACCATACTTTCTACCACAGCTTCCAAATGGTACTACGCTTATGTTTCAAACAGTCTTTACAAATACAACAGTTGTTGCCAAAACTAGTCGACCCATGCTTTTTATTAATAAATGTTTTATCACATGGCTAGTGACTATTAGAATGTTGGACTCGTATCTGGTACTTGTTGGTGTATGTATTGTTGCTCTTCGTAATGCTTTTAAATTTTATAAACATTAGTATGTACCTTGTATTTATCAGTCCAGTAAAATGTTAATAATTGTGGTTAGGCGTTGTGATAACCTCATCTTAAACAACTAGCAGAAGTTCAATGTCGTCTAACGATGTTAACCTAATTATAAACAACTAGCAGAAGTTCAATGCCGTCTAACGATGCTAATATCATTTTATTCTAAGAACCTGAGGACGTCAATAAGTTTTATTCTAGATTGGGTTAAAATAACCGATTTTTAACGATTTTTATAACGTGCGATTCCTTTACGATGAGTAGCTTAGGGTAAGAGGTCTTACCCACACACCAATGACGTATATTTCTGTAATATGCTTCAGTCGTTACTAGCCCACGCTAGTATTCACATTCAATTACGCCATTGTATTAGATAAAGCATAAAGTTGTGCATGGCGCAAAACCTCCCCATTCCCTGCTGTATTTAAATGATGGTTTAAATGCAGTTCATAAATGCAACATTAATTTTAAATTGCAGTTATTATGAGTTAGCTGGGGGCCATTTGACTCCATCTTATGGGTTCGTTTTAATCAAAGTTATAGGTAAAACGGCCCCCAATCAAAATAATTGCATTTTTCAATATCTAAAAACAACAATCTATAATAAATCTTTGCTTCAACTAAAGTCTTGAGTATTGGCGTACCTATTTATTCCTAAAGCTGTCTGTGTAGATGTACGTCCCTTTTCCTAAAGCTGTGGGAGCAACTGTATTTCCTTATTTCTACAGCTACAGATGTAGGCATACAATATAGCTTTTCTAAAGCTATATTGGTATAAATATACCTCCCCGTTCCTAAAGTGGGTGTGAGCAGCAAAAATAATGATATCATGTTATGTGATATTTCTATAGATATATTTTAAGTTTATTTCAGTAAACGAATAAGTCAAATTTGATTTAGTAGAGTACAGTTGTTGTTATAGCAACGACGTAACAGTTGTTATTGTACTCAT